GAAGCTTGTACCGCGATCATCTTGGACGATATTAGTCTTAGGTATGGAACTTCGAGAAGAATGATCAGTGGCAACGGTACACAATTCGTTACAGGGGTGATGCAGCAATTAGTTCACTTCCTAAGGATCACGCAAGATCTGACCTCCGTGTACCACTCAGCTGCCAATCCCGTAGAGCGGAGGAATCGAGATCTGAAAACGAAATTTCCAGACCTTAGTCCAGAATGATGATTTTGTACCAGATATCACGCCTCGACTACGATCTTTAGCTAATCTACTGTATCAAGCCAAAGATCAGCATGAATTTCAGCAAGACCGCCATAAGAATTACGCCGACTGTCACCGCTGTTCGACCCCTGCGTATTAACCCCGAGATTTAGTCCTAGTTACTAGCCCCACTCGTAGTACACGAGGAACCTTCTCCGCGAAGTTAGCCCCCCGTAGAGATGGGCCTTATGTTATCCTGACTCAGCGTGGACCAAATAGCTTCGAGATAGCTCCGCGGAACCAGCCCAGGAAAGGCGATTGGAACCACTCTTCCGCGCTGACCCGTTACCAAGGAACGAAGTAAGCCCCTTCTCCTCAGATCCCTATCCGGAAGCTAGGCCGTCCAGGAAGAAATCAGGCTGGTCATTACAACGAGACGCTAGGCAACGACTAAAGGGGAAGTATGTAGCACGACCACCGAAATGGCATTAGTTTTACCCCATGTAGCACGACCACCGAAACGGCATTAATTTTACCCCAAGTAGCACGACCACCGAAACGGCATTAATTTTACCCCAAGGTAGTTCCGATATGCCCAGTAGTACCGTTCGTGAGGGCGCCACGCGGAACTCGGTGCTACAGAAAAAGCGAACACGTCCCTACAATCGTCAGCAATCCTCTCCAGCAAAAACACCCCGAGGCGCACTGATCTACTCAAAAACCCTTATAAAAGGCCGTAAGCCGGCCATATAGAACAGATCAGTTATCTCATCCACTGTAGACTCGACCTTCCAAGCCAACGGACCATTCCAGCAGCGACGAACTTCCAGTCTAACCAGCCTTGCAACCGACAGTTGTACAGCTATATATACATATACAAACACTATTCAACAGCCGGATGCTTCTGCCGTTCGTATCTACAGCCAAAAACCTTTGGGTTTAATTTTTATTTATTTTTCAGGTTTAACAGCAGTAGCCCAGCCATTCAGCAGGTACGAGTAAACCAATTCTATTGAAAACACCCGAGGCGGTGGCGTAACCATCCTAGTCAGGAACTCTTTAAAACACAGGCCAATCTCTTTGGCCACTAATTGATTAGAAGAAGTTGACACTGAAGTCTCGTTAACTTCCGGCCCGCTCAGAGTAATTTCCCTTTACCCCCCCCCCCNAATTTCCCTTTCCCCCCCCCCCCATCTGAACTAAATCTTTCTGCTTCCCCCACTCCTCCTCCCCTCGAACATCTCGACGATCGTGGCAGGCGATCTCAATGTCAAAAACACTTCCTGGAGCTGCCGATACACTAACAAAAAAGGCATTTCCCTTCTTCAAAGTCCTCCATTTCAACCTAGCCTTTGAAGCGCCTCCGGATCCTACGTATCTCCCCGCCCCCCACAATCAACTTCCTGACATTCTTGATATCTTCGTCTTAAAGAATGTCACTCTTTCTGCCGATCCCACCGTTCTCTAAGCTTTAACCTTCCAGCCCTAAAAGAAATCGGCCGCCCAATCCTCAACCCCCCAAACCTTATAACTTCACTAGACTGGCAACGTCTCCGCTACACTCTCGAAACATCCTCTTTCAAGTGTACTTCAATTCGCACAAAAGCGGAACTCGACAAAGCTGTCAATATACTTTCAAACGAGATTACCAGTGCCATCGTGCTTTCTAGGCAGACATTCATGCCATCGTCGAAAGAAAAAACAAAACCCGCCGTCTGTGGCAAAAACACTGTGATCCACCGCACCGAACTTAACGCCCTCCAAGGAGAACTTAAAACTCACCTAACCGAATTTCGTAGCACCATTTTCGACGATTATATCGCTCAAGCCGAAACACATCCCAAAAGCACTTGGAAAGTGATCCGCTAAAACAAAACGGCTCCGTATTCACTTCAGATATGAAAAAAGCTGCAATTGTCGCACTCCCTCAGTCTCAACTGTTTCCGACTTTAAACACACATCACCCCGTGAAATTTTCTTTACCATCCGATCTCTGAAGAAGAGAAAATTTCTCGGTGCGGACGGTATTCCCAACGGTGTCCTAAAAGTTCTACCATCAAAACACAACCGCACTCTGCAACATCACAAACACTACCATGCAACTCGACCATTTCCCTTCGACTTAGAAAGTAGCGACCGTCATCTGTCTCCCCAAAAAAGGGAAGACCCTCAGCTCTCCTTCAAGCTATAGGCCTATTAGCCTGCTCAGTTCGCTGAGCAGAGTAGTTGAATCCATCATTTTGGACCGGCTTCTCGACCACGTGGAGCGAAACAACCTACTCCACGACTTTCAACACGGTTTCGGTAGACAGCACAGCCATCAACTTCTTCGTGTTTTGGAACACATCTCTGACAACCTAAATAAGCGCCGTCACACTTCTATGCTTCTGCTCGATAATCAGCAAAACTTCGATCGAGTTTAGCACGAAGGTCTCATCACCAAATTTATCGACCTCAACACCCCACATTTGCTAATCGGGGTTATCTGTTCCTTCCTCTCTGACAGAACCCTCCGTGTCTGCGTTGGCTCTACCTTATCCTCAAGCAAACCCATCACGGCTGGGGTCCCCCAAGGTTCAAAACTGTCACCTCTTCTGTTCAAACTTTTCTGGACAGACATGCCGTCCCACCTCTCGATCGTCACAGCTCTCTACGCCGATGACATAGCCATCATAAACTCAGCCCAAAAGTTTATATCCCTGCTACTAAATTGGTACCGAATGATGGAAACTGTCCATTAACGAGGCCAAGTCGGAAGCAATTTTCTTCTCCCGTAAGACCCGAATGTTGGATATTAAGAACATTAAAAGCAACGATAATAAAATTAAGTTATCATTTATAAATATTGGAGTCTCGGGTTTCATGGTTCCCGCGACACAACGGCGACTGGTTTTATAAACTTTAAACAAAAGGATTATTTTTTAGCAACAAGCCAGTCACAAGTTCAGTCCGGTCCCNACACCCCAAATTTGCTAATCGGGGTTATCTGTTCCTTCCTCTCTGACAGAACCCTCCGTGTCTGCGTTGGCTCTACCTTATCCTCAAGCAAACCCATCACGGCTGGGGTCCCACAAGGTTCAAAGCTGTCACCTCTTCTGTTCAAACTTTTCTGGACAGACATGCCGTCCCACCTCTCGATCGTCACAGCTCTCTACGCCGATGACATAGCCCTCATAAACTCAGCCCAAAAGTTTATATACCTGCTACTAAATTGGTACCGAATGATGGAAACTGTCCATTAACGAGGCCAAGTCGGAAGCAATTTTCTTCTCCCGTAAGACCCGAAAACCTCCCGCCATCACCGCTAAGAACCACCGTATCAAATGGAGCAACTCTGTTACTTATCTCGGCGTCGTCTTCGACAGAACACTGGCATGGCGGAGGCACATCCTTAGCACCGGTGCCAAGGCCCTAGCCGTCTTTATCTCCCTCAAGCCCTTCTTCCGAAACAACTCCATCTCCCGCCAAATTAAAATTCGTGCGTTCAACGCAATTATCAGAAGCATTTGCTCCTACGCCATCCCCATTTGGGGCAGTGCCGATTCCCGCCGCCTACAAATTCCTCAAGGCACTTAAATGCGGATTCTTCGTATCGCATTCAACTATTCCTGGTTCATAAGAAACATCCAAATTCTGAAAGAAACTGGTCTACCTTCACCCTCTGAGGCTGCAGTTAAGTTCGCGGCTAATCCCCGGCCCCAGTGTCAGGTCACCCAAACCCACCCATCTAGACACTTGCCGGCTATAATGAAATGTCTTCGTTCTAGCTCGCTTTTGATTAAATATTAAATACCACCCACATCAACGTAATGTCCTAAACCAATCAGCAATCATTAAAGCCCCGTTCAAAAAAATCGTTTAAACAATGAATCAATCAAATTGTAATTCTTTGCTAACGGATTTTCAGAGAGACGGTTGAATGTTTATAAATACTAAAAATATCAACAGCGTTTATTAGCCGGAAGTAAGGTGACAAATCACTAATTTAGCAACAAAAGCCATGTGAATTGTAACAAACGCCTGTCTTTTCCTCATTTTCTATCAAAATGACCCTTATCTCTAAAATTCCAATTTAATTATATTATAAGCCTCATCGTTTTACCTACTTCTTTCTTCATCTTTTCTTCTACTTCTTTACACTTCATATTATGTTCCTTAACTTCCCTACACTTCCTAATTTCCCACTTTATAGCCTAATATCATTTTTGCCCTTCTTCGTCTGTCCTTTTTTGTATTTCCTCCTCTCTTCTATTAATCTTACAATCTCCACAAACAATAAATAAAATAAATAATTAACGATACCAACTGATAATAATTAAATGTATGAGTTTAATGGTTCGAGGTGTTACACGTTAGTTACAGGTAAACAATTGCTTACAGCTAAGTGGGGGGCATATTTTCGTGTCTATTCAGACATTCAAAAATTCGTAACTCGGAAAGTATTAACTTTGCAAAAAGAAAACTTCAGACCTTTTTTATCGAGTTAAACCAAAGAATATAAAAAGAATTATTCCGATCAAAAAAGTTGTTTTTAGCTATTTGTTTAAACAATACATGGGTTACAGCTGGCAACTATTCAGAAGAATCTTCCGAACAAAATTGCGTAAAAGAATTTAGTCCGAATACTTTTTGCCACTTACCTGCCCATATAGTTGGAGTAGCTCCAGCGTGGTTCCGTTAGAGTTTGTATACATAGTTTAAAAATTCCTAGGCAACGCAAAGAGGTGAGAACGTGTTATTTGTAGTCGGAACATCAAAATTACCCAAGCTTATTGATTCGGAAATAAGAGATAATGCTTTCTTCCAAAGAGAAAGTTCTGCAAAGGCCTTGGATAGAAAAAAAATACAGAAATCACCGAAGAAAGGTAATAGTTTTGTTTTTTTTATTATAGTAAACTAGTTCATATATGTATATATTTTATCATAGGTGTTGTCTGCATATCCAGCTATAGATAATAAACCTCCTGAACCCAGAGTTCATGTAGCAATTAAACATAAAAAAATCCAAAAAGAGAACGAACGTTGCTTAAAAATAGAAAAAGATAATTTTTTACTGTTGAAAAAGCTTTGTTGGATTATGAAATCCAATCGTGTTGACAACTACTGGAGTGAACCATTACCAAAGTATGTATTTCGTTACTAGAATCGTTTCTTTCTTACAGATATTATTAAATAAATCTTCTAGTTTCATAAGTCGAGTTAATATCAACGATAAGTCCAAAACAAAAAACAAGAAAATAGAAACAGAAAATAAGGAGAAAATTTATTTAGGACAAAATGTTAAATGTCTTGCTTGTGCACTACAAAAGGAAATTCCAATTTCAACACATGAAGTAAGTTAGCAAGTAAGCTTTTGCAGTAATTATGCAATGTAATTGATTATAAATTGAGTTCGGTGACTTAGTCTTCTTCTCAATGAGGTATGTAGATAAAGCTATTGATTACTATGAAAAGTTGTTAATTTTATTTGAATAGACTGATTAGAACATGCCAGTATAATAGTAGGCATCTGTTGTTGTGAAAAAAGATCAGAACCAAAAAGGGTTGTATGGTTTTATTTTTAATGCAGAATCGACACCATTTGTATATGTATTGTTTTCCATGATTTCAAAATAAGTAGTTAACTACCACTAATGATAACAAGTGATAACAAATTCATTATTTTTGTTTGTTTTCAAGTTTGCCACTAGCAATTCCGTAGCTATCTTCTGTAGAAATTCGATCACTTTAATTAATTATAATAGAAAACGTAAATAACAGAAAAAATAAAAGAGATGGGTATAGGGAAGGGTAACATGTAAAGGTAGAGGGAAAAATTCTACAACTGAATCTGAAAAAATATACAGGGTATTCCATTAAAAAAAAAAGTTTTTATGGTTCGGAGTTACGCAAATTCGACATTAAATTTTGATTAGTCTGTATAATACTAAATAACTTGTAACGTAACTGTAATAAATGTTCTTAATCTCCAAATTATCTAGCAATGCCATTGTGACTTCCAAATTGCAAACTATTTGAAAACTACGATTTTGATTTTTTGGAGCCATTCCAGTATTACGTAAACACCAAAGGAGGATCTTTGCTTTATTTATCTTTTAATGATACTGGGAGGGAATCTGGTTGGTGAATACGTTAGTAATATTGATTTGATTTATTTATTTTTCTGTAAAATTTACTAGATTCTGATTTGAACATATATGACAACCCTACTTGTCTATGTTCGAAAGCAAAATACATGTTCAAGGATTCTTCAAAAGGGCTGATAATGTTCACTCGCTCTCACGCGGTATTTATGGTTAAGTTAAAAAGATTTTGAGGATACTAATGTTTACGTAAGCATAGGGGGGATGAGGTTTGCTTATTTTTGCTGACAAGGGGGGTAAAAAATTACTAAATTACTAAAATGTGGTTTACGTGATACCTAAATGGCCTCTAAAAGTCCAGTCGCTTGTGTGCAAAAGAAATTTTATGCTTTCTTCCATATGATACGTAACGTAAAATTAAGCATGTGCATTTGCAAAGGTCTCACATAACTTACTTCATTTACATATACATAATTCAGAATAGCAAGCGAATTTTGAGGATTCACCTCAGGATTTGTGAAGAATTGTAAAGATTTCCGATCGTCGGTATTTTATTGTCGCTAGGAGCATATGTATTATTTCCATACCTTTGCAATGTTTAACGTTTCGATCTCTGCATCATCTATGAGATTTAGTATTATGGAGTGCTAAATGTAAATCTATATATATATAAAAATGAATGTTTGTATGTCCTTTATATAATCGTAAAATATGCATTTGATCATGTGAATGATCTTTAGCAAAGTTGTTGTGCATAAGCCAAAGAAGGTTTCTGAGTTGGTACGACCACTTTTCGACAGGAAAAACAAGTATTCTCACAATTAGATAATACTGAAGAATTAAAAATTTACACTAAAATGACAATTCCACTAGAGGCGTAAAATTTAGAAATGGTCAACTTCTAGTCTGTCTTTATTGTACGGCTTCGGTAGTGGCCAGAAATGTTTTTTTAACATTACTTACAGTTAGTATAATCTGTAATGCATGATGATTTCCTGAAAAGTATTAAAGGATACAGAAAATAGTTTCAAAATAACTGAACACAAATCATTTTTCAATTTTTAAATAAAACACGTTGTGCCCAGTGTATAAACAGTAAACAGTGCTTTTAATTTCAGATTTCCGAAGAAAGAAAACTTCCTCTCAGTCTTAAATTGCGTGGAGCTGATATCGTTGCTCAAACGAGAAAGTCATCTGTACCAATTTTTTCAAAAAAGGAACAAGTAGTTTCTAAGCAAAAAAAGGTATCAAAATCAGTTCCTTTGAAAAAACAAAACTCTAAAGAAAATGCAAAGGTTTCTTCCAAAATGGATAAACATCAGTTTTCTGAAATAAATAGAAACGAGTCAGTGGACGATTTATCATTTAAGACCACCACGAATAGGACAAACAGTAAAATTAAATTAAATTTTGAAAATGAATCTTCTAAATATCATAATAGCATTGTCCTGAATAAAGGATCATTGGTATTATCTATTAATTTTCCTTCAAGTACTTCTGTCAAATTAAAGGACGGAAGAAACGAAAAGATTCTCATGAAAGAATTCTGTGGATGTAAAAACGATACTAAGATACGCTAGTATTTTTAAAATATAAATTTTTAAAAAATATATGAACGAGAAACATTAAACCTATGAAGATTTTGTCTTAACTAATCTAAGCTAATCTTCGCATTCCCCTAAAGCTAGAGCAATCCATATCCTTAACTATTTGCGAACAGTAATCTGATCTTCTGATCTAGGTTTACCTCTACCCCTTCTAACTTCCGCTTCTGCCTCTAATATGTCTCTGACTAGACCTTCATGTCTGAGAAGGTGTCCTACTAACCTATCTCGCCTATTATTGACTTCCCTAGAGTCCTCCGTTCTCTTACTCTTTCTAATACCTCATCATTTCTAACCTTCTCTATTCACGGTATCTTCATCATTGGCCTGCAACACCACATTTCGAACGCTTCTAACCTTTTCTTTTCCGCTGCACCCACTGTCCATGTTTCGCACCCATGCAGTGCCGTGCTCCAAACATACACCTTTAACAACCTTTTCGAATTTCTAAATTAACTGTTCGCGAGCATAGAAGTGACATAAATACTGATAATAAATAAAAACTTGTACAAATAATTATTCCAAGTCGTAAAGGACAGTTGATCACAAAGAAATAACTATTCCACTGAAGTATTAATAATACATGACATAAGTTTATACATAATTTCAACCCTTACATGGTTCAGGTAGGCACAAACTAAATTTAGCGAAGGTTCTTGAAATCAAGCAATTGGACTTTTCTCTAAAACAAATATAAAATTATATTTTACTGTTTAAAGTCCTATTATAGTTTTTGGTATANTTTAGAAGAAACCGTCTGTCGAATCATCTCCAAGTTCGATAAAGAAAGTCGAAAGCAAAGATGTTGGAATTGCGGCGAAATAGGCCATACGAGGAGGCAGTATAGGAAAAGTACTCCTTCCCCAAGTACTCGACGTCAACAACGGTCGACGTAACGGGGCAAACGTTGACCCATGGACAAAAAGACCCCGAATTTATCGCATTTACGAAGACCTTATAGCACCAGAATGACAGTCTACTCCTTAGTGGAAAAATATATGGACAAAGATGCGTGTTTCGTTTGGGGCCACTAGGAACATAGTAAAACCCAAAATACATATCTACTAATACCTTTCAGAGAATTCCTTGGATGTCGATGGTAAGTTTTCACTTATACTTCGGATAATATATGTAATGTTACATAGTATCCATAAATTCTTATTTAAATCACCGGTACAAAGTTAGTACATATAAGTTGTTTATTAAAAACCGCATGCTAACACTTACTTACCTACTGTGTTACTAGGTCAATTAGCAAACGTTTAAATAGCGGAATCAATAATATAATTAAAAGGAAGAAGATAAACTAAGAGAGTGGCGGGTCGAATTCAAGATCACGAACATGCAGATTGGTGAGACGGCAAGCCTTCTACATTCGCCCCGTGGTAGTTCCCTGCTATAGGCTAAGATTATTATTATACTATTGAGTTATTAATTAATTGGAGTTAAATTGTTGACTAGTATGCAGTTATAAGATAAAAAATTAACCGGAGACCACTCTAGAATTTGCGTTTCTTAACTTTCGTTATACTAGAATGCTTTCAAATAAATCTATCGAATTTGGTTTGACATTTTTAATAAGAAGGTTTCTTACATATTAACTAACAATTTAAAATTTACTTACAAACTAGATGAACAACAAATAACAAGGGGTGGAGTATTATTGAATGGTGGTGAAAAAAAGGTAGGAAATTTCTGAATGTCGTTATAGACGAGAGGGTGTCGAAAGCAACTATCAACACGCAAAAAGTTCTAAGAATGCCACAAATACCTGACTACAATTTAATGATAAAAAAAAACTCAATTGCAATATCACGAACTGTCTGCATTGCTCTGGCCAATGTCGTGATACACAACAATAGGTATTTCCGAAGGTGTAATAAAACAGACGAAAGGGATTTGAATAAAATAAATAAACTTATAATAGCTAAAGAGCTTATGGCAATATGGACATATGGTTAACTCGTCCTTGAAAGTGATAAACATAAAAGTTTTGAAGCTTGTGAATCGTATAAAATAGGTAACAAAGNCAGACTATTAATTTCCACCGTATGTCCAACGTTGGTAAAATCTGGCCTCTTGTGTCTGTCCGTCTGGACAAATCCGCCCAAAATTCCAAGACAATTTTCGATCTTCGTAAGCTCTGCGGGCTCAATGTCAAAGTTGAGCCTAAAAGAGCATCAAAATACATCCCACAGTGCCGCCGTTGCATGAAATTTTTTCATACGGCCATTGCCATGCAGCTTGGGTCTGCTCCTTCTGCGGCCGTAACTATGTTACCGCCGAATGTAAGTCCAAGGACAAAATCGCAACGTCACCACCCCAAAAATCTTACGCCAGAGCAGTAAAATCAGCATCCCCACCCCCTCTGTGTCTAAGGCAACCGCACCCTTAGAACAGAAACTTCAGACTATCGTCCAAACGATGGTAGCCAGCTTAGTCGCCGTCTTACAGAATCATCAATGAGCAACACAGCCCCCCCCCCAAACCACCTTCGTATTGTCACGTGGAACGCCCGTGGCATTAAAAACAAATTGATGGAACTCGAACACTTCCTCGATGATCGGTCAATCGGTGTTCCTTGCATCACCGAAACTCACCTTGTTCACAATCACAAACTTTTCGTCCCAAATTTCACTGCCTACAGAAGGGACTGCGAAAATTCCAGACACGGCAGTGTAGCCATTCTCGAAAGGAACTCTATAAAACACAAGTCTATCCCTACGGAAGTCCGCAGCGCCTCTTTCGACCATTACATCTCACAGGCAGAGAAACACCCTCAAAGTGCATGGAAAGTGATCCCCTCTCTTCGAAACAGAGCTCCCCACCTCCCGCCCCTAAAACAAAAAACTGTTCAGACGAAGAGAAGGCTGCAGTTTTCGCAGATTCTCTCTAATTCCAATGCTCTCCACTACCAAGCCCTGTGGATCTCACCGTCTTTCATGAGCGTACCAAAGCCACAGCTCAAAAATTCACCTCCACTGATCCCGATTTCAAGCCTGCCACCCCCCGTGATGTTCACCTTATTATCCGATCTCCGAAATCAAGACAAAATCCTCAACGGAGTCCTAGAAGTCCTACCGCCAAAACAGGTTACCGCTCTCTGTAACATCATAAACGCTGTCATGCGGCTCCACTACTTCCCTTCGGTCTGGAAAGAAGCCACCGTTATCTGTCTCCCCAAAAAAGGGAAGCCTCTCAGCTCTCCCTCAGGCTACAAGCCTATCAGCTTGCTCAGTTTTCTGAGTAAAGTAGCAGATTCTGTCCTATTCGACCGGCTTCCATCATGTGGAGCGAAACAATATCTTTTCCGAATCCCAATACGGTTTCCGTCGCCGCCATGGCACTGGTCTCATCTCAAACATCCCACATTCCCTTATCGGGGTAATAAGATCCTTCCTCTCGAATAGATCCCTTCGTGTCCGAGTTGGTTCTGCCCTTTCTGCTAGCCGACCAGTCACGGCCGGCGTTCCCCAAGGCTCAAAATTATCGCCCCTTCTGTTCAACCTGTTCTGCGCAGACATTCCGTCCCACCCCACCATTCTCACGGTTCTTTACGCCGACAACATTGCTTTTATAGATTCTACAAAGACCATTCTAAAATGCTCCGCTAGAATTAACAAATTTCTGCCCCTGTTCCTAAATTGGTACCGGAAATTGAAAGCTTCCATCAACGAGACCAAGTCGGAAACAATCTTCTTCTCTCGTAAGCATCGTAAACCACCCTCCATTATAGTAAAAAACCACCTCATCGAATGGAGCACTTCCGTCACAAACCTTGGCGTCGTTTTCGATAGAATGCTATCATGGCGCAAACATATCTTGTCCACCCGTGGCAAGGCCTTAGGTGCCTTCGTCTCGCTCAAGCCCTTCTTTCAAAACAACTCCGTTTCTCATCAAACAAAAATCCGCGCGTTCAACGCGATCATCAGGAGCATATGCTCATATGCCATTCCCATCTACATCAACTTCTACAAGGCACATACATGCGGATTCTTCGCTCCGCATAAAACTACCCCTGGTTCGTTAAAAACTCCCAGATTTTGAAAGAAACCGGTCTTCCTTCTCTCCCCGAAGCCGCACTTAGATTAGTGGCAAATCTCCGCACTTCAGTGACAGGTCACCTGAACCCGTCTGTCTCGGCACTTTCTGCCTTCTTTCCCAAACCTAACGATCGTTTTAGTAGGCCCTGTCACCTTCTACAATGAACTTCCACCTCTTCCGCTGACCGCCATTCTCTAGTTTCGCTTTTTAGCAACCTCCCTCCCTCATCTCTTTACCTTATCTCCCACTCCACCCCTCCCCTTCCCCAAACTTCTCCCATCTTCTCCCGGTAGTCATAATCACCAGGTTGAAGAAGTGAATCCGACACTACCCCCATTAGGGGGGGGGTGTCTTTAGAAGATTTCCCTTCCTCGAAGTTAAAATAAATAAAAAAAATCATTCAGTCCACGATTAGAACTCGAACCATTCGAGCTTCTATACGTACTTGCGATCTGCAACATTTTCTACTGTTCTCTTACCAGCGGGACGGAGTATGCAAAGTCCCTCTGAACTCCCTTAACCCCCCACCAATTAAACTAATAATAAGAACCTTCCATTTTCAACATTTTCTTATTTTGTACCATATACACTACGTCCCACAGGAGCAGGTTAGCTTCTTTCGCAAGCCATTTCGAAATGGCTACCATCAAGAGTCACGCACTCTTGGAGGGACTCTCCATTGCGAAGTTATGTCCTTGGCGAACGAGCCGCAGTCCAAGCTCGCCATAATCAACGAAGTTTTGGGGCAACATTGCGAAAGTTCCCCATCTTTCCCAATGTGCGAGGACGTCGTTCCTTCTTCTCCTACCCGGGCTGAATTATCCGATTCAGACCCTCCCCCCCACAGTCGCTGACGGCTTCACAGAAGCCGGGAAGCGGCGTAACAAGTGCCGAAGCAGTGCTACCTTTCTATCTTCGGCATCCTCAACGTCCTCTGATTCTAAGGCAGAGACCGGCACAACTAGCCAAAATTCCAAAGCCCCTCCCCCCATTGAAATCCGCCAAAAGTCCCT